AAAGGCTTCCTTTATGACCAGATGCCAGGGATTAAGAGGTATGAGCTCTTACAATGCAGTGCAATGTTTTCAGACGTGTTTGTGGGTGTACGGTTGCCATCCTCTGCACATTTATCTGGAAGTAACCCTTGCAGAACTCAGTGGGATTGAATTCTGAGTAAGTATGCACAGGACGGTGTGGTAAGTGCACACAGGACTGGGAGAGACATCACCAGGAAACAAGCTTTCAATCCCAGCCCTTTCATTTTTCACCATTCTTGTTAATTCTTCTACAGTAGTGAGACAATACCTTGCAATCTGATTGAATGAATGAGCAGTGGGATCAAAATAAAAGTTACAGAGACAGCCAGACTGGCTTTTTAAGATTAAAAATTGTGATGTGTAATAAAAACTTAAAATTAGTTCCAAGAATGCATGTTGCACAGTGCTAGGTATTTTCAGTTCTATTATGGCATGAAATTGTGGACCTCAACACAAACTACCATAAAAATAAGAGCTTTTGAAATGTGGATTTATTGCAGGCTGTTACAAATTTCATGGACTGAGAGGATGATCAACAAAGAAATATTAAAGAGAATGTATAAAGATCAAGAAAACATGGACAACTTGAATATTTTGGTCACAGTGAGAAATGAAAAATATAGATTTTAACAGCTGATTATGGAAAGTAAAATAAATAGGGAAACAAGTGTAGGAAGAAGGTGATCTTGACTGAAAAACCTTAATGAACAGGCTGGACTCATTACAAAAGCATTGTTTTGAGTGGTCATATGAAAAGACTTTTTAGCCCTATGTTCTACAACAAATAAAGTCCAATGTAAGCAAGAAGAATGCAAAGAACACAGGGGCAAAGAATCCCATCTTCATGTTTATGCTAATGTGAGCTAAGCTGGTAGTGGTAGACAATTTCATGAAAATGTTAACCCTGTTGTGAAAAGGGCAAAATCTATGAAGGCGATCCTTAGAAAAAGAACTGAAAATGGAACTGCCAATATTTTAATGCCTTTATACAATCTATGGCATTAGCACAAGTAGAATACCAAGTAGTGCTCTGTCCACTACACCCCATAAAGGGTACTGAAAAGATGGAAAATGGCAACCAAAATTACCAAGGTGCTGGAGCAACTGCCCTATGGGGAAAAGACACATTGTTTGGCGTTTTTTAGTTTAAGAAAAAAGCTAAGTTGTTGAGAGCAGGACATGCATTATGCACACTGTATGGAAAACAGAGAAAAGTTTTCCTTCCCAATCACATAACAGAACGTGGGGACATCCTAGGAAGCTGGAGAGTGGACGAAAGGAATCAAAGGAAGTACTTCACAGATCATGTGTGTTATCACACAATGAGAGGGCCACTAACCTGGATGGCTTGAAAAGAAGATTAGACAAATTCATGGTGGATATGGTTGCTGATGGCTACTAGTCAGAATGGCTAAATATCACCTGTAGTATCAGAAGCAGTCTGCCTGAGTACACCAGTTTCTGAGAGACAAAAAAGGTGGCATTGCATGAATTGCACTCATGTGCTGATTGCAGACTTCCCACAGGCATCTAATGGGTGACTATGTGAACAGAACAGAGGACTAGATAGGCCCCTGGTCTGATCCAACAAAGCTTTTCCTATTCAACCAATCTCTGCATCTTGGAGGAAAAGCTTCCATCTTATTATACACAAGTTACATATAATGGCTAAATCGTTTGTGATATGAATCTCTTCTCCCATGTGCTCCAGTTTTAAAATAAATGAGATTAGCTCATACAATTTTCAGTTATAAACGACCTGTCAAGAAAATGTTTGCCAGTAGTGGTTGAGAGGTCCCAACAGAACAGACCACAAAGTTACTACAAATACACATAGGCAAAGAAGATAAAATGAGGAATGTGCACGTTCACTATGTAATGTGAAAGACTAGAAAATCTCTTTACATCATAAAATATATCATAAAATTGTTATTGTATGAATAAAAGTCAGCTGGAAAGGTAGACACTTCTTTACTGTATGAGTTCACTCTATCACATATATAAGGTCACTCCGCTTAAGTACTCAAGCTAAAATTATTCCTGAAAATGATGTCCCCTAAAGTGGCAAAAGCAGTGCAATGGGGAATAATATTGTAGAACCTCCACAGGCCTCTGCATGCCTTCTTACAAAGTGCATCAATTTGTAACAAGTTTCATGAGCTGCATCAAGAGTTGTCCACTTGGGTTGCCACATAGATCCAGCTTCCCAAATATTCAGGGCTTGGAAACTCTGGATCCCTTTAAAATACCTTTGCCCATACATGTCCTTTCTGATAGAGTGTCCACAACATGTCTTGCTTGAGAGTCATCTTTATCTTCACGACTTTCCTGAAAACAGATGTTGCTTTGCCTTACTAGCTTTACGCACTCCACCAGACCTGTTAAGCAGAAGCAATAGAGACCTTTCCAAGAGGACTAGGATATCATCATCAGAGCTATGCACTGGGGCTTCTGCCAGTGTCAGAAATACAGTTACAATTTCTGGAAATAGGTCATGTGTCCCAAGCTAACCTTTTACCTTTCCTAGCAAAGCATTAGGAAATACCACTCCTTGGGAATGAGCCTGCAGTGCCCATCTGAAGAGGTCCTGCATCTAATGGAAGATTTGAGCCAAACACAGTGATCTTCTACACACACAGAGAAAACTCCCCTGATGTCTAGACGTAGTGTGAGATACTCAATTTCACTTACTTGTTAATTTCTGTATACATTGGATTGCCTCAAAACCCAATCATTCTTAGGCTAGACCCATTGGGACAAGATAGTCTTGACTAACTTAAGTCCCACTTATTTCAATGGGACTATTCTATACAATGTGAGACTGGATTCTATCAATTGGGTATTTTCTGTATGAGGGTTAGGGTATTGCCTGCATGGCACAGCTAGTTAGTCCTGAGCAATTTTAGTCAAAAACCCATGATTGCTGCAGACCTTGCACCTCTCATCCATTTCATCATGGTACTGAACTTGCTTAAAAAAAAAAGTATTCAGTATTATTCATCAAAGTTGCTAAGGGTGTTTGCCTTTCGGTGTGGCTAAAAGAGTCCCCTGACTCCTGGTATTGCCTACTGTGATCCCTTTCAAAAACGTTTGGCACATAAATACTTTGGATTAGAAGTGTATCATTTTATACTTAATTGCTGCCACCTTGTCCACAGTAAATCAAAGGAGGAGACCTGGTCATGTTAAAGCTTCTCTTTTACCCTCGAGGATGTTCCATATCAAGAATGTTCACACAAGCACCATTCTAAAAAGTGCCTTTTAAGGGTCATGTCAGGTAGGCTCAAGGTCAGAATGCTTGCTGAAGACATCATCTGAGAATATGGAGGCAGCAAATCCATGCAGAATTCTGTATGTGGTGTAAATTTCCTCACCGCGAATTCCATTCACAGCTCCATCCATACTGTACTGTGCCACCTCAATGCGGATAAAACACACTTGCGGCAAGAGTGACGTTACTTCCATGTGCACCACAAGTTGGAGACACATCGGTTAGACAAGGCACAGCATTCTTACTTTTCCTATGAGGAAATCAAGTTTGTGTTGGAAAATTATCATATGTCAATCAGCCTCAAATGTTGCAAGCTGCATATGCGGCAAAGCTGTCCTGGGTTCACATGCCAAACAGCCAACTCACATGCAAGATGGAAAGAACATCAGAAGGTGATTACACCTCATTAACTTCTCATGAGGAGCTTTTGGAGGCACAGCCATATTTGCCTATTGCTTGCACTCAGCACTGTGGCACCATAAAAACTACCAGTTTTATTATGGCATATACTACTGAGGATGAGAGTTCATTTCATTAGATGCATCAGAGGCAGTCTTTTTTTAACTTAACATTAACAGCCAGAAGCACACTGTAAACTCCGGCAACAGTGGCGTAATCCACTTTCTCTCATCAGTTCCAGTATTTCTGTCCACTCATGTTTTCACTTCGCTGAGTCCACAGTCCTGGACTCTGGACAAACTTGGCTCCATATGACAGAGCCTTGATCTGGTGGTTCACCTTCACACAGCCCATGCAAATTAGCTTTAGAAACATTAACTTGCATATTCTTGCCAACTTAATTGCTTACTACCGATTCGGGTATTCTTCAAAGTTGTGTTCTCCTCCTGGTTCTCCTTTCACATTTGACTAGATACTTATTTTTTGGAATTACGATGAGTCTACACACTGGCTACAAAGTGTGAGAAGATATTCTTCCTTAAAAACACTATTCACTAGTCTTTGGACCTTTTCTTATAACGTATTTCCTTATACAATTTTAAGACTAATAGTTTCAAATCCAAAGTGAAAACCTTTCAGACTCTAGCCTCTTTCAAACAGGCTTACTCGGGTTTTTGTTTGTTTAAAAAGCATTGTCTTGTACGAAATCTGGAAAACGTTTTCTGCCGTAAGAGTCCTGGAAAAAAGTCAGATAGTTGCATTTTTCTACTAGCAGTTGATAAAGCCACACATTAACACAGCAGGAGCTACTTCTCAGCTAACATAGAAAGGGTAAGTCCGTGTAAGGCGGCAACGATTCCCAAGCATGCTATGTCTCACCCAATATTTCTCTTTAGGGAAAGAACATCATTCTCTAACCTCATCAGCAACTGTACCACCGAGCAGCTATCAAGCAAACAACCCCCCGGCCCAACCCTTCTTCCTTAATTTCTCAACACGTCTTAACAAACCAGCCACTCGCTAAAAAACTGTAGAGAGCAGAACCTCGAAGCACAACAGGCAGAGATCCTGGAACCACGCGTTACAGCCGCTCTCCATCTCTCTTAACAGGAATGAAAGCCACCTCCGATCAGACTACGAGCAAGAAATCTACATTTCCTCAATGGAGCGAACTTCAAGCACAAGGTGCATCGAACAGCAGCAGCGCACGAAAGTCGCTAGCCCCGACCATGACCGTCCGAAGGCATCACATCACCTTCCAGGAGAAGACCCCAAAACAGGGGGCTCGCTTCAGTTTAGAGGAACTCACCCCCAAACCCCTGCGTGATCGCGCCTGCTCCGTCCCAGGACAAACTCCCTGCCCGAGTCCAACTGGCGCGCCTTCCCTTAAAACGCATCCATCCCTTTGGAGACGGTTCAGAGAAAGGATGGCCCAGATCCCCCACCGCCAGCCAGCCCGCCCAGCCGCCAGCCGCCCCCTCCCTTCCTCCCGTTAGTGTCCAATCAGCCCGGCTCTGCCCTCTTAAAGGGGCAGCACCCTCTTTGCGAGGTAAGCCAAGTACTCAACCATCCTTCTCGCTGCAACCGTGGCTCTTCTCAATAGAAGCGTCCCAAACTGGGGGAAGGCATTTGGCAGGCCTTATTTTTTCCCCCAGCGGGGTTCTGCGAAGCAAAGCACACGGATTCACAGCGGCCTACTGGCTTCGTCTCGGAGGGATGACTACAATTAAAGGCCGACAGGTTCCGAGGCCGGGCAAATAGCCTTTTTCACCGGGATAAACGAGAGCAGTTCAACCTCCTTCAAGAAAATGGTCCGCTCCAGCCCAAGTTCCCCAATGATCCGACTTTTAAGGTGGACTTGCGAGGCGGAGAGTTCGACGGCGGCACCTTAAGGCGCATCCAGCGCTGCCAGTTTGTTTACTCGTTCGGGACTTTCGGGCTGTTTACACATGGGCTGGCTCCAAGCAGTTGTCAAACAAAGATTGCGAGGGAGTTACACGCAGAGCTGATTTTCTTCGGAGATCAAAATTCGGCTACAGGCAATCCAGGATGTTCTGTAGCTTGGTAAAATCCAAGTTAGCATAGATCCATACTGAAACGCCTGAGTCTTACATTAGTCTAATTTAAGTCTCTGTCGTTGAATGGGTCTACTCTAGCCACTAGCCCGAGTGCCATTCCTTCCAATGGGACTACAGTAAGTAGTACCCAGGTTCGATGTTACTCTGCGCCTGTCTTGTGCCTATTGCAAATAGCAGCGAAATTCCGATATGAAAGGATGGGGTGAGGAAGAGGAATGACATTCGCTTCCAGTAACACAGAGATCCACGCCCTTTGTTGCTTAATTCTGAGCATCTTCACTTCCAAGCACGGGATTCTTAAAGCAGATCAGAGTGCTCAAGAATGTGCGAGAAACGTGTTGGTGTTGACTACAACTAGAGATTGGAAGCTTCCGTTTTCAATGACGCTTTTGCAACTATTGCGTTACGACTGCAGCCCTAGGGCCCAAAAGACACTGCTTGAAATGCGTGTCTAGGAGCCACGTTACTCGCTCGCTTTCTTTCTTCATGTTTACTCTAGGGTTGGTGCACCTCCTTGGATCCTAGCGTGGGGAGTAAGGATGGCTTTTATATCACGGATTGTGGCCCTATTCTGCAAGTAGAATACAAACAAAAAATCGATGCTAAAGTATAGTCTGTTTTGGCCCTGTGTACATTCCGCTGGGAGTGAGTCCTGTTGAACTAAATGGGATTTATAGTGCAGTTGACATCCTTAGGGACTTGCACTTTATATTGCCATGGGTAAGCTCCCTGTTCCTATGACTCGGGTCCTCATCTCGGGCCCTCTCAAATAAAATGGCGACGATGCTGCTCTTGTGTCTTACGGGGCTACTTATCTGTGGCTGCTAGTCACAAGGCTGTCTTTGTCCGATGCACGTTGCTGGGGAGTAACAGCAACGTAAAGTTATTATTGGTACCCCTGCTCCCCCTTACGGACTTCCAGAGGCATCTGAAGTTGGAAAATAGGATCTTGGACTAGATGGGCCTTTGGTATGCCCCAGCAAGACTCTTGTGTTTTTATGGGAAGTTATTTCAAAGATGTATTATTGAATAAGTATTTGAATGCTAAGCTGTCTATGTAAATGCTAGCTGTTGTTTTAAAACGCACTTATTCATCACTGGGCTCAGGTGTGTTGAGTTCTCGTCCACCAGTTTAACTACCTCACTACATGCCTTCATATGTTTTGTATATTACTGGTGCAATGTGATGTCTGATGTCAGTTTTGTAATGTGTGAACCCATCCTAGGGCTGGTGCATTCAGCATAATTAATTTGTACTACTAGTGCACTCGTGTATGTATTTACACAGAAGTAAGCTCTCTAGTGTCCTGTGCTGCTTAATCGCAGAAACACACTGCAGCTGAAGGCTCTAAGCCTTCCCACACTTCGTTTAGAGGTAAACATCAATGAATGCAGTAGTTCTTATTGCTGAGTAAATAGGTATTGGCTTGTACTTTGAAGCTGCAATCCTATGCACGCTTACCTGGGAGTCTTACTATGGAGTGATTGTGCATGGGATTACATTGCAGACCTCTAAAAAGTGCAATCCTGGGCATATTTAGACAGAAAAAGGCGTACAATTACTAGCGCACCTCAGCCAGCTATTCCCTTAAAAATAATTTCTTAAAAACCTTCATGGGGTTGTATCTGAAGTGTATAATTTTCCTTGTGTAATATGTAGAGGAGTTGTGTGTGCTTGCTGTTATGCTACTATTTGGTTTGCTCTGAATTTGTACTTAATATGCAAACAGATGCTGCCTATGCATATTTGTGAGCACTAATAGCTTTACCTAGCATATAATGGAATTGCTAAATTCTGCAATGTTATTATCAAATTCCACTTTCCAAATACTAGCAGCAGCAGCAGCAGCAGCAGCAGCAGCAGCAGCAGCAGCAAAGTACTCATCAAAATACAATAATTCTATGATTATTCTGTCTAAGCTGTATGGAAATAGAATTCAAAATTAACTTTTATTTATATGCCAGTGGACCATGACACAAGTTACTCCCAATTGGATGCTGTTACCTGGCTGCATATACTGTACCTCTGGCCTAAGGATAACTAGGCTGCTGTTTCTTGGCATATGCACACCCCAGGGGAAAATGCAGAGAGACCTCATTGGTCCCACCCAGCCATACTCCAAATAACCTGGGAAGTTGAAATTCCTTGAGGATATGTGTGAGGAATATTCAGGAATCACCAGAATGTTTGAGGGTAGCAGTGACATGCAGGGATACAAAAGAGATATCCATTTGCAGTGCATATATGTCCTTAAAGCAGCCTCCCCAGCGTGAGGCCCTTCAATGTGTTGGACTACAGTTCCCATGACCCACAGCCAACATTGCAAATGATTGTGCTATGCTGGCTGGGGATGATGAGTGCTGTAGTGAAATACATCTGAAAAGGACTGCTTTGGAGAAGGATTAGAACAGTGATGGTGAACCTTTTCAAGACCAAGTGCCCAGACTGCAACCCAAAACCCATTTATCGCAAAGTGCCAACACTACAATAGAACCTGAAAACTGAGGTTTTAGTTTAGCAAAAACAACTCACAGCCAGTCCAAGCAAATATATATATATATATCCATGGCAGTGCACTGACCAGCCATGCGAAAGCTCGGACAAGTCAAGGCTAATGAGTCACGGCTCGTGATGTCATTGCCTGGTGCCGCTTCTCCTTTCCAGATGTGCACATGGCCCCTATGTGCGCTGTTATCCGATACTCAGCTGCTGGGGTGATGCTGGGGTGACTTGGCTCTCATGCTTACAGAGAGGGCTCTGCATGCCCGCTGTGGCACGCATGCAATACATTCACCACCACTGCTCTAACCCTGCCCTGGTGCAGTCTCCTAATCCTAATATAGGGCTAAAGTTCTATTGAAAAGAGGGCGATTTTGAAAAAGCCTTCCTTGAGTAGCGTTTCCTGCACAGTTCATAATTTCTGCCCATTCTAAACACATTCCAACCATCAAAATCATCCCAGGATGCCTCATTTTTGTAACCCTGACCCTACTCTGGTGCACACCCCTAACTCTAATACAGGGCAAAAGTTCAATTGAAAATAATGTGATTTTGAATAAGCCTTCCTTGAGTAGCTTTTTCTGCACTGCTCAACATTTCTGCCTATTCTAAACACATTCTAACCATCAAAATTATACCAGAACACCTTGTTTTCCTAACCCTAGCCCAGTGATGGTGAACCTTTTAGAGACCAAATGCCTGAACTGCAACCCAAAACCCACTTATTTATTGCAAAGTGCCAACACTGCAATAAAACCTGAAAACTGAGGTTTTTAGCAAAAACAACAAAAATATATATACAGTGGTACCTTGGCTCACGAACTTAATCCATTCCAGGACTCTGGTCATGACCCAAATTGGTCATGAGCCAAGTTAAATTTCCCCATAAGGTTCAATGTAAATAAGGTTAATCAGTTCTGTAATCTGTTGTTTTAATCAGAAAAATGTGAAGCAAAGTGACAAAGAACAACAAAGAATGCGGCCATCTCCCCGCCCCCACAGCATGACTGAGATTGCACCCATCATCCCTGCACACACCCAGGGAGAGATGGGGGGAGGGAGAGATGGACGCGAACGGGGTGCACTGGGGGAGGGAGAGACGGGCACGAACGGGGTGCGCTGGGGAGGGAGAGACGGGTGCGATCTCGGCCATCTCTCCACGCCCCCCAAGTGGGGAGATGGCCACAATCGTGCTGTTTGGGGTGGGGAGATGGCCAAGATTGCCCCATCTTGCCTGCAGGAGCTCACCCGTGATCATGCACATCTTCCCTGCATGAACGTAACTGTGATCGTGGCCATCTCCCCACTTGGGGGGTGGGGAGATGACTGCGATCTTGGTTGCCACCCAATGTGGAGTTCACAACCCAAGTCAAAATTTTCATGAATTTTTTGTTTGCGACCCAATTTGGTCATGAACCAAGGCGTTCGTGAGCCGAGGTACCACTGTATATCCTTGGCAGAGCACTGACTGGCCTTACAAAAGCTCATATGAGTCGTGGCTAATGAGTTGCGGCTCGTGATGTCATTGCCTGGCGCCACTACTCCTTTCCGAGCATGAGCATGGTCCCTGTGTGCACTATTATCCAATGCTTGGCTGCTGAGGCGATGCCGGGGTGACTTGGCTGACATTCCAACAGAGAGGGCTCTGCCCGCCCGCTATGGCACGCCTGCCATAGGTTCGCCACCACTGGCTTAGATCATCCCCTTTCCTCTCTTTCTTTCCTTGGCACAATATTCCGGAACAGCAGGCGCTTGCAACAAGAGCTCTTCCACAATAAAGCCCTTCCCCAGCTTTAGGCAGCAGGTTGTTCACTGATGGCAGTCTTTGTTGTGGAAACATCACCTCAGCA